AGATAGATGGATTCAAAGCTCTACTGTGCCACTACATCACCCAAAGCTGAGAACCACCATCTTGGCTCGAATGAAAAACCACTTGCCCCTCCATCCGTTTGTGCTGCTACTCCCGTGCGAACTCACATGGCTTAATGATGTCAGCTGCAGGCTATGCTCCGGTGTCTATGGTATTCACCCGTGGCGAAGACTCTGGTACGGTTCGTGTGAATGCACTACGGCGTTCTCTTAACGCCCACAGACCTCGATGTTGAATTGATACCTGCATGACGAAGTGCTGCTTCTAGTGTCATCTCGGTTGGCACGTATGATCGTCGAATCTCTGCAAATGCGAGGGGTGCAAAAAGCAAAGCAGGCCGCCCTCCCGCCCCTAAACGGTATGGTACAGCCCAGTCGCCCAAGTTCGAAGCTTCGTACGGCGCCCTCGGCGGCCGGATGATGGCTTCCCTGGGCGCTCTCATGGATCCGATGGAACATCGCAATACCCTGAGATGTAGAATGAACATGTGAATGTCGCAGAAAGATCTCGAACACGAGCCGGACAAATCTACAGATCGTCACCCGGAGTTGGGACTGCAAAAATTGATGGGTTTACGAACAAGCTCAATTTCGCAGATTTTCCCTGCGCTTCAGATTCGTCTTGGGTGCTCGAGCTGCGAGCTATCCGGAATCCAGTACCTGCATCCTGAAACAACTTCAGCCCAGGAGCACAACTGACTCGTAGGTTCCCGCGAAAGGTATGCAGCTTCCTGGTCTCACAGGAACCACAGCGGCACGGTTGCAGCTTCGGAGTGGACAAGCTTTGGCGCGGACTCCGGGACCTCGTGACCCCTCTCGCAAGCTTCAACCCACAAGTACAGTTACCACAGCCAGGCATTCCCCCGACATGCCCGAAGCAGCCTGGCCAATGTCTATAACGGCCTATGAAACTTTTACAATTTAGTATACAAAATACAATAGCCCATCAACGGTCGGCCGCAATATTTAGGCGTCCTATGCAACTGCCAGGAGACGGAAATGACCCCTGCACTCCACAACAGCAACAACAGCAAACCACATGGGGCTAGAATGATTCATAATATCATATGGTCATCACTGGGTACTGCAATTGAGCTGCTGCCCCCGAGTTGGCCACCCAAACTTACCAGGATGAGCCCAACTTGCTGCCATGCTGCGCTTGCGCTTGGGGGCCGCCTCTGGCTTCGCGACCTTCGTAAGCTTTTGAAGCTGCCATGTTGCCAGGGAGCGCAATCCACAAACACCCCGGGTGCATGTGAGGCCATCGCTAGACGGCTAGATGCTAGGCGAAGGTCCCCGCGCCACCCCACCCCCCACCCCCGCGCAGGTGCGAGTTGCCTCTCTCTGTCTCTTTCCTCGAAGGATCCCTGTGCTCACCCAGTCATGCTTTTCTTGATAGTTGTCGGGACTGCTGCCGAGCTCATCACTTAGAAAGATCGCAAAGACATAGCTTGCGCCTCTTCACCCTGAACAAAGGCTCTGCATACTTCTTGGGCCCTCTCCTGCTCATCGACTTGATCAGCATGTCTCCTGTACACGAGACACCGATAAAGGCAATGGGTTCGCTTGCGACAGCAGCTTGCAAGCTTGCTTGATCAGCCCCCCTAGAGCGAAGTCTCCTCCACATTGGTCCAACTCAGCCCCTCATGGCGAATCTGGAGTCTCCACTCCACGAGTCAAGGTAGCCGTGGTTCGGTGATTTTGGACGGCTGATAGCATCGATGCAGGGGTCCTTCTAACGAGCTGCACTCATACTTCTGATGTGCAGCGGCACCTACTGCTGCGGTCATGCCATGTAGCTACGTCGTGAGAGTTCCGGAACCATGTCAAGATGTGGCTGGAATCTAAACTTGCATGTTGAGCCATATACTCTCGTTGCTGCGGAGGTGCAGACATTTTTCAATTGGAATGTTGGCCGGCCAGCTATACAAAGATATATAAAGCCCACAGAAGCTCGCGGCTTACTATCCGCAAAGCGTGGAGACCTGACGGCACCAGCTCCAGGGTCTATGGGCTCCCCGATTCCTTTTTGCGCCTCTATGATAGAAGGATCTAGAATCGGATAGGGTCGCCATGATGCACGCATTGTTTATTCGGTGATGATGGTGCTACGTTCATGGCATGTTCCTCGCAGTGGTATTCCGGGTGTATATGAAACAGTACATCCACGGTAGCCCTGCGAAGTCCACTCCTGACCAATCGCCCCACACGTCTACTGCCGAAACTAGCAGCACTGCACAGGCAAAGCAGGATTCAGCTCTTAGCTTCCCAGTTCACATGTCGGCAGTGGAAAGTTCGAACTCTTGGTTTTTAAGCCATTGCCGCATGCAAAATGCCGAAGTTTGAAGTTTAACCGCTCCACTGCCAAGCTTCCTCCGTCATCAACGTATACTGACATTCATCGTTGCGCCGGTTCATTATCGGGAATACTGCTTCAGTCTCATCTCTCAGCTGTAATCAGAATCTGCGCTCCATACATGTCTCGGCAACATTCTGTCAGCCAGACCTCCACAGATTCACCAAGATCCACCTATATGCCTGTTTTATGAAGCACGTACATTGACGTACATCACCCTGAAATGACATCTAAATCCGAACGCCGAGGCCCCTCTAGATGCCCTCGAGCGCCTCTAGCGGCTCTGGGTCCACACTTTGGGCTCCGCCTTGCTGTGCACGGGGTGCCTGCAATCAATTGTTGTTGGGTTCCCGCATCGTCTGGCTCCGCATGTTCTCGTCCCGATGTTTGCGTCCTAAACACTTGTGCTGTTCCAAACAGACCTTCACGGTGTTCCGAACACTGAGTCGGGCCATCTTGAGCTGCGTTTCCAATGGCATCGGTGTCTTGTCGCTGCCGTATGCATGCTACCTTTCATGAGTGTTGCTCGGGCTTCGGCTAAGGCTTCCGCTCGGAGGCGTCGTCATGTCGCGTGAGATCGACCCACAAAAGCGCTTGTCATGTCCGGAATGCCAGATGCTTCAGCATTGCTGACGGCTTCTGTCGGAACCTACAGCACGGCATGCTCGTCCATGTAAACCAGCCGGCAACAACGACAAGAACGGCCACAGCCACAGCATCCACAGCAACAGCAGCAGTAGCAGCCACGATGTACTGCTACTTGATCGCCCACTTCCGTCCAGGGAAAAAGAATCATGTAAACGCCAATCAAGCAAGAAGCGAGTCTTTGCACGGAACTCTCAGGCGCTTGCAGGATGGCTCTTCGGTGCTGAGCTTGGGCGTGGCGGTGGCGCTGGCGGTGGCCGACGGCTGGCCGCTGCTTGTGCCCTGATGAAAGGCCGAAAGTAGGAACTGCAAATTACCATGATCGAAAATCTCGAAGCATGGGAAACTGTTACACGGCGGCATGCTATCTCTGACACAGCGCGGTAGAGTAACCTCCAAACATGGTCGTCATGCTTTCGGCCAAGTTGTCGATTCTACTATAATTCACCGCACTAGACTAGACGTTTCCCAGGCGGCCCGCCAACACTGAACAACGGATCTTGTTCTCGGTCCTTGCCAACTTCTCGGGCTTACAAATGACAGCGATGACGAGGCGCGATGTGGCAAAAGCTCAACTCCAATCGTTTTGGTCTGTCCGGGAACACACACGGGCGAGTCTACGACGTTTTGAAAAAGGCATCCATGTAATGGAGACACGGGTAGGCAAACAAATGCTTTTGCGGCTGTGACACCCTGAATGCTGGCAGTCAGTCGCTCTTCCAAATATCTTCTCAACTCCAATGTCGCAGGTCCCGGAACCCCTCCGTTCCGCCTGTATCCTGGCTTGATGAACGGACCTCGACAGTGCGCTGGCAGGTTTGTTTCGTGTGCCGGCGTTCCCAGATTCAGCTGTGATTGCCGCATGAGTGGCATGTTCGAGAATCCCATACGGCTGCCGAAATTCTGATTCTTCCCGAGTGCTTCCAAATTTTACGGCATCCCTGTACATTCCAACTCCCAAGGCTGGTTCCATGTTGCAAGAGCTGTCTTCGTAATGTCAATGTGGCGCTGCGCACCCATATACTGCGCACTTTATGAAGTCACTTTTCTCAATTCTTGCAATACGGGCTGATACCATGCCAGAAGCTGAGAATGCTGCCGATGACATTTGCGACTTCCTGCATCAGAGGAATCTTGCGGTTGCAGGTGGATGACCATATGTCCGAAGACAATCCGGGGGGCTGAGGCCTGCATGTTCTCGTTTGGAGTTTGGAAGAAATCACGTCCAGAACGCTGAACTGGCCCATTCTAAGAGCTCTCCCCTCCCGCAGCCACCTGAAAATCCAGAGATCCAAGGTTCTCTGTGTCCAGATAGCGGAAGAACTGGCGCGACCGAAAGCATTTGAGGGAAGTTTCAGGACATGCGTGCCCGAGCACTCTTTTTGCAGCTGCAGGAAGAACCGCAGCAGACCAGTGCTTGTGATCAGCACAAAGCTGCTGCTTTTGCGTTCACTGAAAGGGTCTTTTTTCGGCAGCGCCGGATTCGGAAGGCAGACTTTCGCAGTCATGAGTCGATCCGAGTAATTGGCGATTGTGCGACACAACTTTCTACTGTGCGTCGTTCCACGTTGATGAAGCAGAGGCAGCATTGCTCCAGCTTGCCCTGCAGCAGTCTCTAGCTTGCCTTTTAGCAATCCTCGCAGCATGGTCCTACCTCATCGTCGGTCTCCTGTATCACATTGCATCACTGGCACCGGAATCGTCCGTGCAAAGGTCTGCAAGAAATCACCTTGTGATGGCTGGCTCGAATAATGCAGTCATGATGTCGCGGGTGCTGCCGCAAAGAGATACAACTGTACGACGTGTTCGACTCAATGCGCCGAATAAACTAGTCAGGTCCTTGAGGAGCAAAACCAGACTGGTGAAGGATGGTAAAGGCATCATGAATGTGGAATGGAAGTACTTCCGTGTGGAATTCTGGGAGTAAGCGAAGGTCTTCGTAGAGTCTCTGGTCCGAGAATCGGATTTGTAGCCAAGACACTTAGTCACCAGATCGCTCCCGCAGTTCTTGCAGTTTGAGGAAGACAGGAAGGACGTCGTCCTTGCCAGGCTTGATTAGCTGGATGAGCGATCAGCCTGGTTTGGCGGCTGCAGGCTTAGGTGTCCCTTCCCGCTCGGGTCCTCTTCGCCAGGATTCTGATCTGGATGGTACTCTTTTAGAAGCCTGCGAAGCGTGCTTTGGCGCTCCGTGTCACTCATCGCCTGCCAACCAAAACAGCGAGCATGACGGCAACCAATAATGGCGTGTTTGCTTCTCAACTTAGAGGTGGAGGAGTTGCAATCAAATGTTGGAGAGAAGGGCAGGAAGTCTCTGAACAGTTGTCGACTTCGGCTTGCTCTGACATACATTGGTGGCGTAGGCAAGTAGCGCAGTTGCCTCAGCCAGAGCCTCTTGAACTTTGGAGGGCAGAGCCGCAGAGTCCGCGCTCTCTTCCTGGCAGCTTCACAGGCCGCGTCCGTCGGCACAGATTCGGCTTTTATTTGGGTGGGCAGTGTCTGAGGACATTTTGGGGGTGAATGTCGTAGCACAGAGCTAGTCAAGAAATGCGTGACGACGCCAGTCTGCCAAGATTGGTCGAGCCTCCTCAGACTCGTCAGCGGGCTTGCCTGCTCCGGATATCGAGCTGATCTCAGCAAGGCTAGGAATCAGAAAATGCACGAGATGACTGACGCAGCCGCTCCCGCTCACCTTGGGATTTGCTGCTCCTCAGGCTTAGGCTCTTTAGACAGACCAGTCTACATATAGTGCCTAAGCAGTCTCGATTCAAGAATATCGGTCTCAAAACAGAAGTTGCTCAGTTAACGAAAAGACAAGACAACTAGCAGACTTGACAAGGGTCTTGGGAAATTTTTTCATCGTTCGACATTTCACTTCCAGTGCGGAGCATCGGCACGACGCCACATGATGTCTCCCGCTTCCTCCAATGCTCTAGCAACTGACCTCTGAATGTGACCCGAAGACTGAAGTGCGCCCACGATGCAACCACCGCATTCCGACTCCTACCTTCCAAAAGCAATCATTGACTCCACGTTAGGACCGTGAGGGCTTGTGCAGCCTTGGAAGAGCCTCGCAGCCCTGCGCCAGTTCTCCGCCGTTCGGCTGAGAGCCTCGAGAAGGGTGATTTAGCTAGGTGTCTTTTCGCATTCATCTTTCCTGCGTGCTCATGTGCTCCTCTGTTGATTCTATAAACCATTCATTCACACCACGACTAGTGCCGTGGAGAGATGGGACATGCCCGCGGACTCTTACACAGGCCGTTGTTTTGGTGTAATGACATCTTCGAGCATGAATGGGTATACTGTCCCTTTGGAATATATCTTGGCCACACTGAGAGAGTCTCTCTCTCTTCATTTCTCCCCCTTGCTCGGTCTTCACATGCTTCGCACCTGGCCCGCCACCGACTCCACATTGATCCGTCCAGCCAAGGAGTCCATCTGGGACACGGTTGCGCGGACAATTTACGTCTAGGACCATTAGAGTTCGGGAATCTGCGAACCCGGCTGGAGTTGACCTAGGTCGGACCTGCTGCAACTACAACCACATGCTGTTCGCTGTCCACATCGTACATCCACTGCACCCTACCAACCTGTCGTACAACTGAGCCTGGCAGTTTCCGCAAAGACAGTGTCCCAAGGATGCACTCCAACTCTAAATCGATCGATCCCAGTCAAAGTTCAAAGTTGCAGGGATTCCTGAGAACCCTCGTGAGTTCAAGTCAACCATCATAAACAAGGCCCGTTTAGAGGATATGTGAAAGAATTGCCTGAAATCCGTGGTTTTCACGTTCGCAAATACGTGTAACTGTATAAGTATCTGTGTGTGTGTGGGCATGCCTATGCATGTGTGATCATGTGTGCCTGTGCCTACGTATATGCACGACACATAATTTACATTGCAGCAGGTATGGTGCTTGATGCATGTATGTTAAAAAGGTCGCATCGACCGGCCCCGCTCCTCGGCGCTGAGTCGGCCAAGGGCTGCCACTGCTGCATCTGCCGTCGGTGCGGACTGTCAATGCGGGCCAAGATTGCTCTTTCGTCGCTGACATTGAGACTCAAGATGCAAACGGTTTGCGTTTCATGCAGAGCAAGCCGCACGAAGATTTGTCGAAGAGTCTGGGAGACATGCTGTTCATGAGGGAAATATGTTCAATTCCGGAGACATGCTGAGGAAAGGAGGCAGCCGTCTACTGGAGGTAGCCATCCAGCACACCGACAATACATAACAGGTGATCAAATGCTCATGAATGCGCGGGGCGAGACCAGGCAACACACATGCATACGCCGGAGATAGCCGATTCCTGCTGTCAAGCACTCCTCGTCACGGGAAACAATAAGATTGACAGTGGTCTGGTCGGTCTGCCAAAGTGCATTCTTGCACGTTCATGTGCCCAACCTTCACTTAAGTGTGCTTGCATTGGTAAGAAGCTGGGCCTGTTCGGGATTCTCACCTCCGGTCAAGCCTGGATAATGACTGTCTATGAGTCACGAGAGATAACCACAACGATGCATCAACTTGTACCCCGGAGTGAGTGAAGCTGAAGAAGCGGCGAATGCTGAATGCGTCGACATTTCATGTGAATGTCCTTCCTGAACGCGCAGAGCGCAAGCGCAAGCACCCAAATGCCCGAAACAGCTTGAAACTTCGGACTTGATGCCAGCAGAACTCAGGAAAACCTTCGGTTGGAGCTCAGCATCTGCAAAACTCGCTTGAATCTTCCAGAATCAGCCTGCTCGAGGCCCCAGGTGTCGAAATCCTCCTCCGAGTCAGCATTGCCGGGCAGGGCAGCCGCCACGGAGAAGAAATCCTCAAAAAACTGTCGGGGCTTCGAAGATCGGATTACCAAAGAGTGGTGTTTGGCTTCGTATTCCTTGGATTCCAAGCAGACTCCGCCTAAACTCTGACAGCCTGAGAAACACAGATCAGTCCACGCCTCCTCCAGGAAATAGTAGTCGCCTGCGGTAGACAGTTAAGGAGGGACAGCCGTCACAGTCCCCCATCCGAAAAACCCAACACGATTCCTGGAAATCCTGAGTCTGGCCAGAGTCTGTTACCTAAGCACAGCTCATGAGAGCCGCTCATGAGGCGAATTATTTATGGCTGAGGGGCACATCTTACAGGAAACAACTGCCGGGCTGAACACCGAATTGCGCAGATTGGTGCGTGCCTGCTCGCTTGAAGAAGGTTCCAAAAAGTAGCCGCCTATTACCTTGTAAAACCTTGTTCCTTTCCCATAGACCCCTAAATACCTCGATGCTATACTGAATCTACTCCAGGCCTGCAGGCCTAAGCTAGCAACCTCTTTTGTTGATCCTATCCCAAGCTTCTAGAGGCGGCTGTGGATAGGGCCCGCCTCAGGGGCGCATGGGTGTTTGCAAACTGCAGCTCACCCTGGAAGGCACCGGAGTTTCTTCCCCTGGCACCTGCCGCACCAGCCACTTCCAACTCGCCAGAGCAATCCTGACTGGTGTTGCAAGTACACTCTACTAAGTTACTATTTGATGCCATGAACCCAAGCTTGTGACATCCTAGCTGTTATTGAGAACGTCACCACGGCACCAAACAGCTAAAGTAGGTGAGAGCCAGGCGCACAACATCATGCGGCGAGTGCTGTTGCGTTGCATGCGTATTCGGCCGAATCCCGAACAGTTCTCTTGTCAGATCCCCAACAGGTCCAGCTGCACTCTTTAGAACTTTAGAACTCCACAGGCGGTCCACGAAACGACGTGAAGCCAGGGCTCATACCAATCGGCCAGCAGGAGAGCTTCTGCGGCATTCCTGGAGAAGCGAAAGAAGGAACAAAGCGAAAAGCTCAGACTTCATGCATCTTTTTCCGCTGTACAGCTGAACAGAAACTCAAATAAATTAAATGCGCGGAATCTTGCCCGGTCAATAAACACTTCGTGCATTCAAGACTGGACGAAGAGCTTCCGTCTGCTTTGCCAACGCCCCCAAGACTCTTACACAATCCCTCAGTCATGTCACCTGAGGGAGATGCCGACCGAGCCGAGGGTAGCAGGGCTCTCGCCACGGGCGGCCCAACCCTCATCACCCATGAAGGCCCTGGGAGGTTGAGACGCAGGGCTGGGCAAAGTAACTCCCCTTGCCACATTCCCAAACCTTCAACATGCAGCGTTCCTCGGGTGAGTTTGAAATGCTTCATGAGTCTTCATCGTTCTTCTGTCCCGTCTATGGCGCTCTTGTGATTCACGGTGAGCGGGAAACAGCTTCAGGCTCAGCGTTGCAGGAAAAGTCTGGGCTGGTGCAGTTGGTGCTTCGAGGGGAGCATCTCGGTACTCTTTCGACGGAACGGTTCTCCCTGTGAGGTGCAAGCGGCCCGGCAGTCAGCATGTCGTCCGCTCCATACCAGAGCTCATTGGCCACATCCTGATAGATGAGATGCATCTTCAGGGAGTCTTTCCCTATAGCCCAACGCGGAGCTCCAAAGGCAACCGAGGATCGATGACGAAGCGGTTCTCGTGGTTGGGCTCCGGAGGCTCTTGCCCACCTTCTACAGGGTATCTTGAATTTTCGTTCCGCAGCCGCGGTTCAGGTCTCAGTCAACAGATGTTTTCGGCATCGTCTCTCGCCCGAGCAAAATTTGTGTAGGGTCGCAGAGTATACAGGATGCAAGGACTCGAAACATCTGGCTACAAGCTGACAGTTTAGAGCAAGCTTCACAGGCGCAGCCTGTTCTCCCGGGCAGCGGTAAGGAGAAATTCCAAAATAACCTCGGCCGTTCGGCTATCGGGCTTCATCCGAGATCAACGCGCTTCCTGATTGCAGCGACAACAAGTCTGCTTCCCTCGAACCGAATTGAATTCTGACAATGCGCACCGGGCAGCTCCAGCGAGAAGGCCAGCAGAGCAAGACCCAAGTATCGGCGGCTCCGATCCATCCCGAAGTTTTGGGGCTCTGTGGCAAGTCGTCCCACAACCAACTAGCACATGTCGCGCAAGCGAGCCTCTACGCAAGATTGCATAGTCAATTAGCAAAGAGGGGAATAGCATGGAGCCCGGGATGAATCGAGCGGCTGCCGTTCTACATGCCCTGCTTTTCTTAATTGCATGATAGGCCGCCTGTCAGGATACTTTTCTATGCCAGCTGGTGTAAGATCGAGTTCAATTTCGCAAAAGAATAGCACACTCGGATGCAGGGGCACTGTCTGCTGCTCAGCTTCGTCATTCCTTTCTACTTGCAACTCACTGTTGTAAGCCTTCGTACCGACACAGAATCGATGCATCACCTCATGCTGTGCAAGAAGGCAGAAGCACAAGACAAACCTTGGAGACCACAGCCGCACCTGGTCCGCCACATCCTCGGGAAGGTGAAACATACGCAGGAGGTGCTGGATCTCGTGGCGCTCCACCTGAAAGCTTCAACCATCATATCGCATGCTGACCGCCATACCATCCATGCATCCCCAGTCAGGTTGAACAATTAGCAACAAATCTATCAAATATCAGGACCAGGAGGCGGAATCCTCGTGTCACGAGAATTTGTGCAGGCCTGCACCCCGTTCTCCGGATTCTGCGACCAAAGCTTCCACTTACAGTAGCCCTCGGAGTCGGCCTCCCCCAAATACAATTCAAGAGACCTGACAAACCTGGCTGGGCGCGCTTCTTTGTCCCTCGCTCTGTCGCCCTGGACTGTCCCAAAGATGCTACTTGCTGCTTCCTGGGTGTCCGTAAACCGGGTGGAGCCGTAGTCGGGTAGATGGCATTGCAATACGTCAGAGACAGATCGAACTCCTCCTCAGACTTGCACTTACAATCAAGAGTGTACTTCTGGAAAAACCACCCGATATCACCTGATGAATGCTAAGTGACTGTTCAACCCTGTAGCACACTGTAACAGCTTCTGCAAAGATTCGATCAGGGTGCCCAGGCGGTTACACAACGTATCCCCACATATCCTGCGTCTACAGATAGTTGCACAAGTGTCTGCAAGTGCATGTAGACATATCCCCGTGCATAAATGAAGGATGTATACATGCATGAATGTGTGTCTGTGTTCATGTATGTCTTTATGTATTTTTTTATGTAATTATTCAATGTAACATACATGGATATGTGTGTACGTGTGTATTTTTCCCCTCCCACTTAGCAAGGACGAGCCCGCATTGCAGGGTGATGTGCCGAACAGTCTCAGGACACGCAGAGGACATAGCAGAAACTCTCCAATCCCCGCCCAGTACAATTGACCAGTGTACGTGTGTATGCATGTAGGGCTGTATGGGTGCATGCACGTACGTGTATGTATGCGTTTCTGTGCATGCATAGGGTTCTGTATGTATATGTAGGTATGTATATATATATATATATGCATGTATGTTTCTGTGTGTGTACGTGTGCATGTAAGAACTTAAGTACGAAAGTATGTATGTATGCATGTATGTATGTATGTATGTATGTATGTATGTATGTGTGTGTGTATATGTTTGCGTGTATGCATGTATGTATGTATGTATGTATGTATGTATGCATGTATGTATGTATGTATGTACGTACGTATGTATGTATGTATGTATGTATTTATGCATGTATGCATGTACGCATGTATGCATGTATGTATGTATGTATGCCTGTATGTATAAGCGTGTCAGGGAGCGTTTGTCTACGTATGTATGCATGTACACATGTGAGGGTGCAAAAGTGAGACAGTCTGCGTATATGTAGATATATTGTGTATGGACGTATGCACATAGGCACATAACTGCACAGACGCACGCAAGCATGTCTGCGTGCGTGTAAGTACGTGTGTATGTATGATTGCATGCATGTCTGTGTGGCATGTGTCTGCGCATGCTTGTGCCCATGTGTATGTGTAGTATGCATGCAAGCATAAATTGCATTTATGTGTGTATGCATATATGCATGCGTGCGTACCTGCACATATACTGCATGTATGCATGCATGTGTGTACATATGTATGCATGTATATGTATGCAGGTAGGTACGTCTGTATGCACCTATGTCGGTACGTAACATATGTGTGCGTGTGAATATATACCTCTATCTCACCCCTCCCCCCAGGCGACAGATCATCACAGGGAAACAAAGATGTGGCTAATTCAAGAAGCGGAAGGGCACTCTCATTGGGTTGAAAATTTCAATTTATGTCTCGAGCTTATCGTTGTGTCACTGGTGTATTCAGCCTTGGCTTGTTTAAGACCCGCAGCTTGCACTTAACGTCGATGGAGCATCCAAGCATCCATTTGGCAAGTCTTTATGCGAGATGACTGCCGAACATTTCTAGATGAAACTCTCCCTTTGTCCTGTACAAACATGGATATTGATCAGTAGTCTCTGCGTGGAGATGATACTATGAGAAGACCAGTTCACTGATTAGTTTAGTGTGTTCTTAAGCACGAAGCTTTCCTCTTGGTCTACGACAGAAGCCTTCACTATGGGAAAACTCGAACTAGTCGGCAATTGCTAAGTCACGAATGTACACATGTTGGCTTGAGTTACGCACATCGTAAGATCAATATGTAACATATCGACTTACGCCTGCTTTTTTATTTGCATGGGGGGGGGGGGTCCCTGTTGTTGTGTTTTCATGCTCGTGGGGCTTTAACAGGTGATTACAGTACAGACCTCTGATCAGTACAATAACAGAAGTCCACAACACAATTGTAGCATGCATGATTGCTTAATGGTCATCATTTGCTAGGTGTAAAATTTTGACAGTGATTGTACACAAAAGACAACACCCAGTTCGACCAACGAAGGCATGGACACCACCTACTGTAACTCGTGCACAGACTGCACATGAGCCAACCTCAGAACAGACGTGTAAAGATTTGTTGGCATAGGGACAATGTGTCAAGAACTAACCTGCTAAATACAAAATTTAGCAAGCAGCCACATATTGAAATATTCGTATTTTCACCATATCAATCCTCCAGTTTCAATGAATTACCGGACCAGCCCGTCGTTCCATTAAAGCAAAAGCCTGAACATTCAGGGACTAAAACTAGGTAGTTACATACTAATCACTCATCAGAATGTGAACAAACACAGGACTCAACAACTGCTACATGTACCTGATAGTGTTTGGCTGGCCTGAAATAAGGTGAATACCGACTGTTTAGCACTGCACCGATTTCCCAGATCTAATCGCACAGGAGCGGTTGGTTAACCCAGAAAGATGAAATTTGGAACAAATCAGAGAGGAGGAGGTACAGAGCGTTATTTGGGTTAAAAATACTGAAGCAAACAGAACTCTAGCCACAGTGACAGGGATATTGGTGATGTGAACTATAGCATCGGCAAATGTAAACTAGGAATACACTGACTACACTTGATACGATAACTGGGGTATGACTGGGAATGAAGTGGGGATTGGATCGGTGTGTAGGTGTATGACGGTAAACATTCCAGTACACATACCGATACCTACAGATATTTTATGAGTGGGTCAAGAAGTGCTCGAATAACTGCTATTGCCGAAACTTACTGTTCTGTTGACTTGGCAAGCACACTTAAAATTTAACTTTAATGGTTTTAAGATTATAGCTGTATTGGCATTTATCTGGCAATATGGCTTGGTGGTGCCTGTACGATTGAGAGAAGCAGTGAAATAATGGACCAATGTTAAGTTAATGGTAAAAGGCTGCAAGCCAAATGGAACAATATTGGAAATGATGCTGCGCAAATCAGCGGAAGCTCAACAATAGTGTCTTGGTGCAAGCGATAGCGACAGCTGATTAGACATAACGAACCAATATACTCACCTAGATATAAACTCGGCTTGAAATGACTAGGAACCGCGGAAGAACCAAACTATACAAACAACCATATTCAATATGGTGTATCCTAACTATTTGTTGATGTTTGATACTTCTGCGAAATCTGTTGCAGTTGTTACTCATTTGTGAAGTTTAGTAGTCCCGGTTGCACATAAAGGCAAAAGTAAGCACAAGAAAACGAGGAACTAATTTTTTCTGAAAGGACTACTGGTACCAGAGTTTTCAATATCAATAACAGAATATTTTCAAACACGATCAAGCTCTCATAAACCAATAGTAGAATCCTAAAAAGAACTGCACAAATGCTTTGGTTTTGGGCTTAAGGTTTAGGGCCTGGGCAAGAGCGCAGGCGCGCAACACCAAAGATGAAGGACCGGACCAAAAAAAATTAAAAAAACACACATCCAAAAAGAATGCCAGAACTGGTTTGGTCTGTTGTTTTTTGGTTCTTTGGTTTTTGTTGTTTCTGTATTTTGGTCTTTTGGTTTTGGTGTTCCGACTACTATGGGCAATTGTGACTGCAGAAGAAGATCGATCCTGTAAAACCTAAACCA